GTTTAAGGGATGCTGCCTGTCTTAGGTGGTCAGTGCGAATTCCTCAGTCTTACCAGTCATTGAGACTCATTGCAGCATGGCAATGTCTCTGTCTTAAGTAGCCGAGGTTCCACGTGATCTATCATAAGCTTTTGCCAATTCTAATTTTTATGGGCATCCATCTTATTGACAGCAGTTACAGTAATCAGCTGGGCAATAATACCCTTAATCAGTGGAATTTCCCCATCCCCATTAGCCCCCTTTTCCACAAGATACCATTTCACAATGGTCAACATAAAAAATCCAAAATTTTCTTTAAAAAAAAATAGCAATTGTGAAGTCCAAGAGATCCCCCACGATCTGCTCTCTTCAGACTGCGTTGCCCCCATCCCTGTGCACCTTTTCTGCTCCCTGCTGCCCCTGGTTGTTGTTGTTTGTTGTTAAGTGCGTGGAGTGGATTCCCACCCACAGCGACCCTGTCTGGGGTTTCCAAAGAGCAGCTGATAAACTTGAACCACAGACCTTGCAGTTCAAAGCGATTTTGCAGTCCTGCAAATTAACCACAGCACGAGGCCCCTGGTAGCTACTAATGCGCTTTGGTCTCTGTATGTTTGCCTTTTCTTGTCTCCATCCACATGGCAGCATGGATCAAGACTTCATGTCAGCTGCTGGCTGTATACATCTGATTCTGTTTCTCTATTTGCCTGCTGATGGGCTTTTAGGTTTTCGAATCTTTGGGCTACTATGAAGAGTGCTACAATGAACATTGGTGGACAAGTCTCTTTTAAAATTTCTGCTTCCAGGTCTTTTTAAAAACTTTTTATTATGAATTGAGTGATCATCAGTTTTACATTCAAATAACAACACTTTGTATCATCTCAATGATGGCTACAATCCTTCCATGGAACAACAGTGATCCCATTTCCTCCCTGTGGTTCCTGTTTCCCGGCCCTTCTCACCTTGCTCCTTAGGTCCATGTTGACCCTTTGATTTTTTTTTTTTTTTGTTTAAATGTTTTATAGTGAATTATGTGATTGTTTACATGGGAGAACATTCGTTTTACATTCATCCTATCATAAATCGTTTCATTGCCATGGTTACAATCCCCTCCATGCATCAGTAACCAACAAAAGGGTGTACCCTACAAGCCTGCACCCCAGTCATCAGCACACAGCCCCTCTCCCTCTCTTTGTCTAAAGACCCCAGCCACTCCATCTCTCCACATCATCGTCTTTGCCTCTATCTCTGGCATCACTGTTTCTCTGAGTAGGGTCCCGCTCTCCACTCTTCTCCCTTGATGGTTCCAGGGACCTCCGCTCCTAGACTGCAAAGTTAATTACTCCCCTCTTTGCGCTACAAAATGTCTACCTTTACATTTACAACCCTCACAATCAGTCCTGATAACAATTATTCACCATTGTATCACAAGAGACCTATCCGCATTTCCTTTCATCAGCCCTGCCTAGACAGATTGGATACTACTCAGTGGAGATTCTACATTCTTCCACGTCCTCTCGATCTAGGTTCCCTCTTGAAAGCTTGTAAGCCAGTCACATCTTGTCTTTGTAGCCCTCCCCCCCATTTTGGGTAGCTAATGTCCAAATTGCCCATCCCTGTCTATTCTGTGTATGGAGGGAGTGGGAATGATCTTTCTGTAAAGATTTGTTCCCTCTTTTGAGCTACTGCGTCCATAGGTATAGGTCAAGTTCATCAAATTGTATCAGATTACTTTTTTTCCTCTTCTTTCTTCTAGTTGAGCTGTGATCATCCAGTCATTGAAGACAGGTCAAGTGGGTACAAATACATTTTCAAAATGGGAGGGAAGCTAGTTTAGCTGTTTCTTTTTGTGATTTGTTAATAAGCAGGCGATCAGACTTCATTGTAATGATGCAGCTAATTTGTGCTTAGTCCTTGCTGCTAACCAAAAGGTTGGAGGTTCAAGTCCACCCCACCCAGAAGCACCTTGGAAGAAAGGCCTGGTAACTTCCATCTAGGTTTTGAAAGCCCCATGGAGCACATGGGGTCGCCAGGAGTCATTTCTGATTTGACACCATCTGGTTTATTTTTTTGGTTTTTGTCTTGTTATGTTATTGATTTTGCTCCAGCGGGGCAGCCATGTAGTACAATGTCTGAGAGTCTTAATACAATGTCAGGTGGACATCAAACAAACTGATGAAACCTTGTTGTATTTTAGGATCACAGAACAGTGATGTGAAAAGACAGTTTCTGCTGGAGAGACTCCTGGATGCAGTGAAACAGGTAAGAGGAAAGCTCATGTTTGACTTACAGATCAGTAACAGTGTCTGATCCTTAACGGAGCGTGATCTTTCAGTCCCGGTTTTTCCAAGGACTTTTCAAAGTCCCCTCGTAAGGCAGTAGGGCAAGCATTGTCATTTCCCTCTCTCGCTTTAGGAGCTTCGATAGCATAGTGGTTACGAATTGGGCTGCTAACCGCAAAGTCAGCAGTTCGAAACTACCAGCTGTTCCACTGGAGAAAGATGAGGCTTTTTGCTCCTTTAAAGATTTACTGCCTCGGAAACCCTGTGCAGGGCTGCTATGAGTCGGAACCGACGCTACGGTACAACACCCTCGCTTTGGGTCTTGAACTAGTGAAGCATACAGTGTTCCCCAGGAAACTGGAGCCCAGAAGGCCATCAGAGGTGGGGAGGCAGGAGTTGTGTATCTCAACATTCCAGAGCTCCCTGAAGGACCCCACCCCTTAATGATGGCCCTTTGACAAGGGCATTGATGTGGGTTTCAAGGTCTAATTTTCCAAGCAGTGGTGCTGTGGGCCAATTCTAGGTGCCTGTGAAGGGTGCAGAGGTGGTGGTTTGGAGTTATGATCGCTTGAGCACAAGAACAGAGACCAGGAGGCCTGAGGCCAGGCATGGGAGAGTCTAGAACGGCAATCACCTGTGTGGACACCCCGCCTCCCCCCCCCATGTGGGCTCTGCCATGACTGGTTGAGGCTGCTGCCGAGGCTCCCGGCACCAGAGACTCCTCTCGTTAATGACACCTTCATCATACCAGGCTCCCTGGTGAGGAAGGGCTCCACCTTGAATCCTTCCAGCACCTGCATGCAGATAGCTGCTGGATGATATCCATTGTTCAGGTGAAGAAACCGAAGTGCAGAGAGGGTCATTGTCTGGCTCAAGCCTTCATCACTAGGAAGTAGCAGAGCTAGAAGCAAAGCTAGGAATTCTAGAAGCCTGTGGTGCTATAGGGTCAGCACTGGACTGCTAACCACAAGATTGGCGGTTCAAACCTACCAGTCAGTCCTTGGAAACCCTACCTAGGGTTGTCATGAGTCAGAACTGACTCAATAGCACTTAACGGCAGCACCAACAGCCTGCTCTTGGAGCAGAGTCACTGACATAGAGGCTCAGCATCTGTGGACTCATCTGACTGTGGACTGGCAATATTTGAGTGGGAGGAAGCAATACGTGGCCGCAGCAATCCCCCCAAGGCTCCGAGAGCACCAAGGGCTGCTTAGGGCGCCTTTCCATGGTATCAGGTAGTATAGTCCACAGATGATTTCAGGTACGGGAGTGTGTGCATAGGGTGTAGGCAAACAAGACACCAATTTATCTAAAAGACTTGAGCAACTTTGGAATTTGATTGCCCTGGTGTCCTTTATGTCATTATAATAAGGGAAAGAAATACCGTAGCAGAGGGGTGGATTAAGTATTGAAGTGACCTCAGAGAACTGAGCACCTGCCCAATTCTTAGGGTGCTATGGACTAGTGGGAAAGGACATGGCTGAGGGTTAGTGCCAACTTCATGTTTTCACGTCTCTGTATTAGAGTCTCATAGCATTACCCATCTCTGAGAGTCCTTCTCTGTTCGCGGGTTCATGCCTCTCCATAGGGCTCTTAGGGGAATCACATTTATTTAAGTAGCTCAAAGCCTGACCACCATCCCCGGGTGGTGCCAAAGGTTAACACACTTAGTGGCTGTT